GAGGGACTGAATAAATTACCGCCCCCCCACCCCCCCCCCGCTTAACAAACACACAAAAACGAATACTACCACCAGTCTTCATTCCAGTCTTCAACCTGGAATGAACAAGGAGCTGCTGGGGATCCTGGTGTCCTACAAAGTGAGAGTCAACTTGATGGTGTCTGGTGGAGGGTGAGTGAGGGGTCAGGGTCTGTCTAGGCAGGGGCTGGGGAGCCACTTTTGTTTTCCTCCCAGGTGGACTGACCCAATCAAGCTGTTCCCCAGACCAGTTTCCCAAACCTGTGAGCTCAGTGAGCAAGCCACCTTCCCTTCTGGAAGCCCATTCTGCGGCTGGGTCAGCCTTCTGATCCCTTATCCCCCGGTAAACCTAGGTTGCCACTTTCATTTCCAGCTGCTAATTTTAGGGTGTCATTCTACCCTCAGCATCCTAGGCGACCTGATCACCAGGTAAGAGATGCTATGGGGAAGCCATGGGGAGAGGGGCCTGGGGGCAAGAATGGGAGACTAAAAGAGTGCCAAGGGAGTGTCTGAGGACATCCCAGGACCAGAAAACTGAGGGAGGGAGGTTCAGGGAGTTGCCTTGGGGGAGATCCATAACTCTCCCTTGGAATCCTCCCAGCGATGTTGGTGTGGAGCTGCCCCTGATCCTGATGCATCCAAAGCCATCACATGGTGAGTGATGGGTGGGACTCATAGGAGCGGTGGTCCTGAGTGTTGGGGACCAAGCAGTTCTGATCTCTTGAATCAAGGACTGGCAGTTTGGGTACAGACTATATAGCAATAGGCAGGTTGGGTTCCTAGGTTTTCAGGGTGTGTGTGTGTGTTGGGAGGGGGGTGGGTAGAGAGGAGAGGGTTAAAAAAGGAGGGGGAAGAGAAACACTTCTTCACTCTACTGAAGAACCCCACATCAGCTTCAACTCCATTTTCCTCTCCCCACTCCATGCTTGCTACAGAGGGTGCTAGGTAAGGTAATGTGAGGTCTGGATGCCCCATCCCCCTTTCCCCATTGCCACCCTCCATTTTATGACGATGGAAATGTTAAAAAGCTTCCCTGGAGTGTTGCTTTCAATACTGTGCAGTGGAAACATATGCTCTAGCTTCATGTCATAGTTCAGTGCTTTTCATATGCCCTCCACCCCTTGCTCTTCTCAGAATCGTCCTTCCCCCCTCATCCTTTCCTTTTTTCTTTTTCCTCCCCCACCCCCTCGCCCTTACTGCTTGGATCCCTTCCTTCCTTCTGACCCTCCATTTTTATTTCCCCTCCAGCGCTCTAGAGGGTGGGTGGGGAGGGACTTTTGTGTTTGGAAGGTTGGGGAGGGAACTTAGGGAAACAAGCCAGAGTGGTTAGCTATGGAGAGGGGGCTGAGGATCT